ATGATAGTCTAGGACAGTTCAAAAAAGCAATCGAGTACCATCAACGTGATCTAGAAATTGCTAAAGAAGTGGGAGACAAGGCTGGAGAGGGAGGAATTTATACCAATCTCGGATGCGCTTATCATGGTCTAGGACAGTTTAAAACAGCAATCGAGTACGATCAACATCATCTAGAAATTGCTAAAGAAGTGGGAGACAAGGCCGGAGAGGGAAAAAGCTATGGCAATCTCGGCAGCGCTTATTTTTGTCTACGACAGTTCAAAACAGCAATCGAGTACCATCAACGTGACCTAGAAATTGCTAAAGAAGTGGGAGACAAGGCAGGAGAGGCACACTCACTCTGTTCTCTTGGAATAAGTGTGGAGTGTGAAGGAAATCTCATGAGAGCGCTTGACCTCTTATATTCGAGTGTAAAGATTTATGATGATATCAGGGATAGTCTTCAACCTAACGACAACTCGAAGATTTGCAATCGCAATCAGCACACAGATGCCTACACAGGTTTGTGGCGCATAAACCTAAGTCTAGGTGAGGATGTTAAAGCTCTCTTTGCTGCAGAAAAAGGACGTGCTCAAGCTCTAAGAGATCTCATGAACTCGAAGTATAAGGTTGAAGGCTCTTTAAAGTATTGCAGCCCATGCGTTTCTTTGAGTTGTGTTCCATCAAGTACAGTTTTCATAGCTATTAGTGGGCCTTGCGTTTACTTCTGGGTTTTCCTTAGCAATGATAATGTCCAGCTGAGAAAGGTACATGTCAATAACTACAGATATCAGGATGAGCTGGAATTTTTCATCGCGCAGATGAACAGTAATGTCCTTAAGGAGATCGCTGCTAGTAGAGATGCTGTAAACGGCGAGAATCCGCCCATTGACGCGCTGAAAGAGGAGGAAGTGGAGGAAGTGGGAGATTGAGGACGAGGCAACCCTGGAGTTTATGAGTTTCTTCTACGGTGCACTGGTTAAAGGCAAGAGGACAAGAGAAGCTCTTAATGAAGCCATGAAGTGTATGAGAGAATCTGGAGATTTCAAGGAGGTGAAGCAGTGGGCACCATTCGTACTGATTGGTGATGATGTTCAACTGGATTTCAAGGAAATTTAGATGCTGAACCATGTAATTACTGTCTATAACTTTGATTCAGTGTTAAGGTAGCTTTAGTTGTGAGCGTAGATGCTTTTTTTCGCCATGCACTTTTTTTTCTACAGGCTTGCAGTTCCCTTGTTGTATGAGCAAATTGAGAAGCCCTGCAAATGACTCGACACATTTACTACGATAACCGGTTTTTCGTAGAAAACAAGAAAGGTTAAAAATAACTTTCGTTTGAATGAATCCTGTAGTGCAGTGTCTCGTTTTATTTCGTATAGCCGAATTGGGGAAGCAATATATGGCAATTCAACAGGCTCCCTTGAGTTTGCTCTTTTTAAAGTATTTTTTATTATTTTTCAGTTAAGGAGGTGAGCCTTGAAGAAAGAAAGCTAATGCAGTTAAAAGTTGCCTACAGACGTTGATGTGTGTAACAAAACCCACTGGGCTACCGATAAAATGTCTGTGAAAGTCTTTTCAAAACAGAGAGAACCAAAAGACGGTTAAACTTAAAATTTCAACAAGAGCCCCTGTGGATTTCTGTTTCAAAACTTGTATTTTCGTTTTTAGAAATGCTCTTGGATTTTGGACATATCTAAGAGAAAAATTCTTTGAAGTATCTTGATCGCTAAGGTCTGGTTCAAACTAGTTTATAATGTTATTTTATTAATAAGTGATGTCTTGAAATTACCACGACTGGCTAGGTAACTGTAATCTAATGATGAATGAAGTCGTTACCTATAAACAAGTTTTTAGGTGTTGCACTTTCGTCTAAGTCGAAAAGGTTTCCTTTTTTTAAAATTTTTCTCAAGTCATTTTGCTCTATAGCTGAGTCAAAGTTATATGTTTGTACAGAGAGTTTCCAGAGAACTTGAAGAATAATCAGTTGTCCCGCAATTGTTCGATAATCTTAGTTCCAGTCGAGTGGAAATTGCGTGACTAACTTTTCGAGGAATTTTACTGAGTTATTTGTTATCAAAGTTATTTTTCTGCATCTTATTAATTCGGTTTCTCAGACTTTGAATGACTGAATCTAACTTTTATGGCCAAGGTTTAACCTTGCTTTTACCAATATTTAGAAAGATTTGTCCGGCTTTTGCGTTTGATTGCGATACGTTGTGCCTTTTGTAAATGCATCAGATACATTTTTTAAAGAATGATGATAAAAACCAATTGTTTAATTGGAAAATAAAGGCTTAACTGAATAATTTAATTTTTTCTTTTTCTTTTGGAAACTGCATGGCAGTTTCAAAATTATGTCTCATACGAAAGGTCGAGGGGAAAAAGTTCCGAAAGTTTAGTTGGAGCCGGATGATATTATATTTAGTCTCTTCAATTGTTTTATTGATTTATTTTTCACTTTCTTTGTAATTTTTTTGCATTAAATGCTTTTTGTTGAACTTACAGAAGAGTGGATTTTGGAATTTATTGAGGGGGGTGTGCTGCATTGTGAGGGAAGAGATATTTGCCGGACAAAAGCAACAACCACAGGAAAAAAGAGAAGCAACAACAAAAACATTTTCTTGAATGTTAGCCGCTCCAATCTCCCGTTGGGAGAAAAAGCATTGATGAACTGCTTATACGATCCCTGAATCTTATGGGTTTTCGTATTGAAGAACACCTGCAAATTAATAATAATGATAATAATAATAATAATAATAATAATAATAATAATAAACGTAAATTGAGGCTTCCCCATAGGGACTTTTCAGCCACAATGTAGTTTTAACTAAGTGCTTAAAAATCCCCACTGGCAGGAGGTGACCAGTGAGCTTTTTACAGAGAGCAGCCGAGGAGTTGAACTCGGGGCAACCGAGAACAAATCCAGTGAGTGGCAGGGTGGAGGACTTGAACCCGGGCCAAATAAACATTTACTTTGCTGGAAAGGCAACTATCACGGTCGGTGACCTTTCTTCTGATAATGGAAACTTTCTAAAGGGTGCTAGCTGTTAAATGCAAATTGACCTCCCATTGAACATTTCCAGGGAGTATTGTCGATACAATTCCTGTTGCACGGCCGACGAATTGTCAGACATAGTGTAAAGCACCTTTCTCCACATATTGAAGATTCTAATATTTTCAAACTGGAAACGTTAAGGTGGTGTTATTGAAGCTCTCATCCAAATACATCAGGCAAAAACCGAATTCAATAATTATTTTATTATACATTTTAGAAAACATTTGCAAAAGAAGACATATTTGATTTGCACACGCATCGAGCGCCGTTTGTCAGATGTTTTGAATGAAAAGTCTTTAATTTCGCCGTTTTAAATCAACACACTTTGCTAGAAATACCTTGTTCGCTTCCGCCTGTTGAGTCGAAATCTTAAAGAGGTCAAGGAACTTTTCGAGTACGGGCTGCCATCACCCTTTTTTGCGCCGACGTTTGCTTCTCCAGAACACCGGCCAAAGCGATTTTACCTTGTGATTCCTTCAGGTTTTCCTCCCACCAATAATCATTCAGAATTTTTTGTTGTCCTCCTGGTGTTTTTGTAATCTTTGTTCACGATCAAAACTTTCTATTTCTTCTCGGAAACAGAGACGAAGTGTTGAGCCATTTCTAGAAAAGTTTGATAACACTACACGGGCGAGGGGCTTGGAAATTAGGCAGACTTTGAACTCGACATGATAACCCAGTATCTGCAGCAGATATTGGGTTATCATGTCAACTTCACATGCTATAGTATATTAACTGAATGCTCTCGACCAATCAGATGTTTCATGGTAAGTCTAATGTATAATAATATCACATGTAAGAATGAGATGATTTTAAGGTTCAACATAACGGACTCGCAGTTATGTTCCTTTTGTAGACGGGAGGATGAAATTTTTAGAATATTTGTCTTTCTATCGTGATGAGGCAAAGACTTTTAGAAGACTTTCCATTTGTGGCTTATTGACTGTGATGTAAAAAAATTCATCCTACGACAATAGTGGAGAATGTCTTAGTACTTTTCGAATTGATGTTGATAGCTAAGCATTATCCACGTTTTGTGTTAGTAGATAAGGATCAAAGTCGCTATGTTTTTCGCAGGCCCCCGGCCATGTTTTCCTCGGTAAAGTTGTAAAATATTCTCATCGAAAGCTTTACAAATGCAAATCATTTACCAAGAAAATGACTGCATTATTGAGATTTTCTCGCAAATAAAAAGATGCTTCGTTTGCCATTCAAGATAACACAGAAGTAGGTTGAAGTGTCAACGTAAACGAGTTATTCGTTAATTGATAATGGCTATCATTGAAGTTTGTTGTCTGATTAGGGTTATTCCCGTCTTCTTTCCTCGCTGCTTCATTCTTGTCTGCTGCACGCTGAGCACACGAGGCAAAAGTTCCTTTTTCTACTACACCGTGGTTTTTTTTTCGCGTCAGCACTCTGAATACGTGTTGCTGCTTCTTTGTCCATCTCCGTTTTTGGTTTCCCTTCAGATATCTGGCCGCCCTTATCGTCCATGGCACAGGTTTTCACTACGATAACTATAAAAAAAGCTGTTGATAGCTTAAATTTTGTCGCTTTTGTTCAGAGAATGTTACTCACAACCCCACTTTGATTCGGTAAGTAACGCGAATAGTTATTAAAAGTACATATCTTGCACATTTTCCTCACCAATTGAAAAATTACTTTATTCGCCTCGCACAATGCAAAAAATAAATCTTTGTTCACATAATAAGTTACTAGTCTGTAGAATAGGGAGATTGTGCGGATACACATACGAAGCATGCCGAGAAATCGAATACGAAATGGCGGTGGAACATGCGCAGTGTGAAAGATTTGCGGACTTTACAAATAGCTTCCGTACAAAGCTTTATATGCGAGAAATGAATAAAATGCGGCTATATGTTTGAAGATAAAGTGGATAGTCAAAATCTACAGGTCTAAATCATTAAAAAACAACGTAAGCGACACTCGCAAGAATTCCTACGATCCCCCCATGTACCTAACTAAGTTCGGCCCCGGACGGTCATTCTTTTGACCACTTATGGCCTCTCTGATCCTTTAAATCCGCCTGTATTTACGATTATCCATGTCTCACCACACCGATGTAAGGTAGTGTTTTCAAAATGTCTACGTCAGAACGTCTTTTACAATGATCGATCGTCCATTTGAGACATATTTCAAGGCACAGAGAGCCGTTTAAGTTCAGCCGAAATAGCTGAAAAAATCCCGCATTTCATGTTTTTCCAGGTGTTGACCTCTTTGGGGAAACGAGCGCTTGTGTGAGCAGAAAAATGAGTCGAATTTGGTGAAGTCTTGAAACTCACAAGAAAAATAGTTGCCATCTTTGAAGGGCTTTGTAACCTAGTTTTTTAGAGGATTTCAGCTGTACTGAAGCTGTTCATCGCATGGAGTAATGTGATAATTTTGATTCCTAACTTATGAATTATGCATGAGTAACATAATTCTAGTTAATTACATTTCCTGTTGCTCAATAATATCTTTAAAGTCCTTTGACTTCAAAAACATAGTAGTCCTTTATTTGTAGAAACGCTAATTTCAATTGAAAAATGTCTGATAGACCCTCATTAGAAGCATTTTTGAAGTGGGAATTAAAAATTGAAAGTCCCTCATTAGCATATGCAGCGCCCACTACATCAACCGCTGACTGTTGGTAACTTTGCAAAGCATTAACAACGTCTATTTTGAATAATTTTCAACCGATTTCGTCACTTGATCAGAGATTTGAACATCGACCATCTCTTGGCTGCCCGTATTTCATCATATTGAGGTTTGATAACTTTTTAGAGTTTGATAACTTTTCAGATTGTTCTTTTAAGGTCATTAGAGATGAACTAATGCGGGTTGTTTTTTAATGACTAACGGCCGGTTATTGAAACAAATTTTAGCCATTATTTAACAAAACCGCGGTTAAAGCCATCTTCAAGTTAGCCGAACATTTATTTTAATGAACAGTGTTAAGGGAGCTGAAAGCTAGCAGTGAAAGGACGTTCATTTAATAAAAACAACCCACTTATAGAAAGTACGTAAGGCCCGCTGCTTGCGTAAATCCACGGTTTGGATTAGACCTCGTGCAAATAACCGGCCTTGAGTGTTTTACCTTTGAAAAAGGTCTGGATATAAAGACAAATAATTATTCCACCTTATCTCTGTGTATAGCACAAGTAGGAGAGAGGCAAACACAGTAAATTACTTACGTATTGTAAGAAAGCGGGCATGAAAAGCACGAATTACTCCTTGGCGATTGCACTAACCTCCTTTTTTTGTCTTTTCAGTCTGAAACTGTTTACAAGCCTCGTCATGCTTAGTTATTTGAATAGCAGAGTTGATTCTCGGAAAAATGATGTCAGCATAAATTATGATCATGCTTTCTTGGAAACTTAATTTATTTGCTTCAACCGGTAATTAATACCGGAAGAAGAAGAAGTCAGGTGTACTGGCGACAACGTCTTCCGCTAGTTTTCTCAACCGGAACTCTCGCTAAATTGCAGCTAAGTTGTCATGATATGCACGCTCAGCCGTGTGCACATAGAAATAAAGGGCATGATAGTTCAATGTGAATTATCATTTAGCGTGACTAAGTAACATTCTTTACATACTACTATTGCCCTGTAAAACACCAAGATGGTAAGCCTTATATCGAGTCCTTTGTGAAAATATCGCAAAAATATTAAGATAATAAGCGTAGCTTGTTTCGTCAATAATTTCCATTATTCCTAGTTGAGTTCAATAAATTATCTGTGCTTTGTTTGATATTTTTTTTGGCGACGCTGCTCGATTTAAAATGCTTTAAAGGAGACAGAATTTGCATTTGCATCTGACACAATGTTAGGGAGATTCCAATGGCAGAAAGGGAGTCATTGATTGTTACATTTCATTTCACAGACGATTGCTTTTAAAATAGCGTGACTTTCCTTCATTCGACGATCGAGGTTCAAATTTACCACCTTTTTCAATCGATTTGCATTCTTTTTTTTGCCATAATATTTCGCCGTGTTTTTAGACCTCTGAAAAAAATAAAATTTCTTCATAACGGTCATCGTCAGCCACCTTACATTTAACGAAAGGAAACCTCTCTATTCCGTTCAGGAGTGCATTCTTTGGCGTGTGGCCCGCGCAACTAAATGCCTGTGGACGATTTCCATCTTGAATATAATCACCTCAATCTTTATTTATGGACCAAACGATTAATTTCAAATACTAGATCGCTTTAACTAAGAAAGTGGGTTCGATACCTCTCTCCGCCTGAAAGAATTTTGTTACTTATTTATTTCCAACCAGCATACAACCAGGCGCGTAGCTGAGGTTTTCCAAAGGGTGTTCGTATGTGATTGAAAATGTAATTGT